TCAAGACTATGTCGGATAAATATGAATGGTACATTGGCAGCATTATCAGACAAAGCTAGACACATTAGGAGCCACATACGACATATGTTGTAAGCTAAATATTTTGATGCACGAAATAGTCAGCGGCAACGCTGTGAGTTTGATGTATTCTGATAAAGAAGGGCTCGAAATGAAGTATAGTTTTCCCTCAACCGCCCAAATAACCATCTGGAACAGGGCCTTCTGCCGGAAAGCCAATGCGGCTTCCGTCGTCATCGTGGGACCACGGATATGATCTTCGCCGCCCGTCAACTTCAGGAGAAATGCCAGGAGATGCGGACCCACCTGTACTCTACCTTCGTGGACCTGACGAAAGACTTCGACACGGTGAATCGTGAAGTACTGTGGAAGATCATGCAGAAATTCGGCTGTCCGGAGCGATTCACTCAGATGGTGCGTCAGCTGCACGACGGCATGATGGCGCGAGTCACGGACAACGGAGCTGTCTCAGAGGCATTCGCAGTGATCAACGGAGTGAAGCAGGACTGTGTGCTGGCGCCTACCCTCTTCAGTCTTATATTCTCTGCCATGCTGATGGACGCCTACCGCGACGAACGCCCTGGAATCAGCATCGCCTATAGAACGGACGGTCATCTCCTGAATCACCGGCGCATGAACTTCCAATCGCTCGTATCCACAGACACTGTTCACGAACTCCTCTTCGCCGACGACTGCGCCCTGAACACCACCTCGGAAGAGGAGATGCAACACAGCATGGACCCGTTCTACGCCGCCTACTAGAACTTCGGTCTGGTCATTAACACGCAGAAGACGGTGATGATTCACAAACCGCCACCCAACTCAGCCGCAGCCCCCAACGCGTCGCCGCAAATCAGCGTGAACGGAACCCAACTGCAAGTGATGGAGAGCTTCCCGTACCTGGGATGTACCCTATCTCGCAACACCAAGATCGATGACGAAGTCGCCAACCGAATCTCGAAAGCCAGTCAAGCCTTCGGACGCCTCCAAAGCACAGTTTGGAATCGTCATGGTCTCCAACTGAGCACGAAGCTGAAGATTTACAAGGCCGTCATCCTGCCGACACTACTGTATGGAGCGGAGACATGGACGGTGTACACAAAGCAGGCACGTCGTCTGAACCACTTCCACCTCAGTTGTCTCCGTCGCATCCTGAGGCTGAACTGGCAGGATCGCATCCCCGACACTGAAGTGCTAGAACGTACGGGAATGCTCAGCATCTACGCCATGCTGAGCCAAATGCAGCTGCGCTGGAGCGGCCACCTGGTGCGCATGGATGACGAGCGACTACCTAAACGACTCTTCTACGGAGACGTCGCGACGGGTTCTCGCCGTCAACGAGGCCAAATTCGCCGTTACGGGGATATCCTGAAGTTCTCCCTGACGTTTCTGCAAATCAACCCTACCAGCTGGGAAGAGCTCGCACTCGACCGACCGACCTGGAGGAGGACAGTGAAGGCAGGCGCTGCGATCTACGAAGCCAATCGCAGCGCTGCCGCCAAAGCGAAATGCGAAGTCCGCAAATCCCAACTTCGCTTAGTACGCAACGCCGCGGCACAGTCGCTTCCAACGTGTCCTCGATGTCAACGGACATTCCGGACTCGAATTGGACTTGTTGGACACCTTTGGATCAACTGCGCCTCTCGAACTGCACCAACCATCGTCTCCCCGCCCGCCTCTTCCTCCCCTACTCCGCCAACTAACTCTGACAATTCTTCGGAACCACCACTACCATAATCCTACTCCTCCTCCTTCTCCTCCTCCTCGTCCTCCACCACCGCCACAACATCGGCCGCACGGACTGCCTTCTCGCACACCTCCGACCGCGACACAACAACCGGCACCACCCCCCTCTCCCGACTCCATCGATGAGGATCAGGACTACACCTGCCCCCACTGCGACCGCACCTTCACCTCACACATCGGCCTGCTCGGTCACTTGCGAATCCATCGCACTGAGACTGGCGAACCAGTGTCTGGAGCACCAACCTACACCCACCGCACTCGCCATCCACTGCCCACACTGCCCTCGCACCTTCACGCATCGCATGGGCCTATTTGGCGACATGCGCATTCACGAGAGCGCGATTGACCACAATTCCGACACACCCACCACATTTACCACACCCACCAGGCCCATCACCACCTTCGCTCCATCGCCACACGCGCCCATCACCAACACCATCACCAACAGCACCACCACCACCACTACCACCACGAAGACCGCTGCTTCCTTTACAGCTGACACCCACAACGCCGACCTCTCATGCCCACACTGCCCACGCACGTTCACCTCACGCATCGGCCTGCTCGGTCACTTGCGAATCCATCGCACAGCGGCTGGCGAACCAGTGCCTGAAGCACCAACTTACACCGAGCCAGGCGTTGGCGGCCCGCCCAGGTGCGGCTTCGGCCGTGCCAGCCTCCAAATCTCTGTTGTGTTGGTTGAAATCCTGGTTATTTGTTGTGTGGACCAGAGGGTGTGGTGGAACGCCAAGGTGAGGATCCGTCCGAGCCATCCACCTGCGCCCTCCCTCGTCTTTGGTCTTCCTGACTCTGTCTTGACACCGGGCCCCGGAGGGGGAGGAGGCGAGAGTGTAAGTAGATGCAGCGCAAGTCTACCCGCACCATAAACCCTTGCGCAAGTCACCGTCCCTGCTCCCACCGTTGCAGCTGCAGCTGTGGGGCATACGGTGGACATCATCGAAACCGATGGTCGAACTGTGGTGTGTGTGTGTGTGTGTGTGTGTGTGTGTGTGTGTGTGTGTGTGTGTGTGTGTGTGTGTGTGTGTGTGTGTGTTAGGTGCCCTCCAAACGGGCCACGTGTTAGATGCGCTGGACCAACACGGGGGCCACATCGGACTCTCGCGGGCGTTATCTTTGCGTAATAACAAATGCCAACATTTGCGTGGTGCGCTGGCGGACCCTGTTGTCGGCATTCGTCGCACAACTGGACCACTGCCTGCACCCCATTGTTTTGTGGTCAAAATCCTGGTCTTGGTGTGTGGACCAGGGGTGCGGAGTGGAGCGCCAAGGCGAAGACCCGTCCGAGCCATCCACCTGCGGCCTCCCTCGTCTCCGGTCTTCTTGACTCTGTCTTGACACCGGGCCCAGGCGGGGGAGGAGGAGAGAGTGTAGGTAGATGCTATGCAAGTCTACTGGCACTATAAACCCCTGCGTAAGTCACCGTCCATGCTCCCACAATGCAGTCTGTGGGGCACACGGTGGTCATCGTCGAAATCGACGGACGAACTGTCGTGTGTGTTAGGGGGGTATCGACCCAGAGACAGGAGGATTGCGCACTATCAACTCGGTCTTCACGCCGTCTAACTGCGACTGTTGCTCCGAATCAAGCCTGCTCTTCGTATAAGCTCTGTGTAATAGCAGGCGATTCGAATGTTTATTTTGGATTGAGGACTTCCTGCCGCTCCATGTTACTTGCAGTGTGCTGTAAAGCCCCTTGTCCATCAAAATTACTTAAAGGCAAATGAAAGAAATATTCCTCTAGGCATGGGCTAGCGGTTTGATCCTGGGAAGGTTTAACGTCAGTGGGGTAAGTGCGAGAGCAAGAATCCGCGATTTGAGGCAGAGATTCAAGCCTCAGTTTCCAAATCCGCGTGATTGGAAGGACGTTCACTAAGACTGCTATAAATTCCTTGGCTGCACGTCGACAAGGTGCCGCGTGCAAGTGCGGTTTACCGGGACCCCAAATTTAATCGGAAGGTGTACAGTGAGTTTTGTAGGAAAGCCAGACGTGTGAACACCCCTCCATGTGTGCGGAAATGTAGACACCAAACTGATTGTTTTAATATACTGCTGAGGTTTACGCTCGTATCGATTACGATTTTCTCAAGTGCCAAATTTCCCAAGGAGTCACCGCAAATATCCGAGGTAGCTAGGCAGTGTGAAAGGAGTTGTACCTGACCGTAAATTTACGATAATGTCAGATGTGTGTGTGGGATTTGATAGCAGTAAATTCATACTTGAACGGATGCTTTTCCTGGAGATAAGGAGATCGAGTGGGAGGAGGAGGAGGAGAGGGAGGGGGAAGGATAGTTGAAACCCGTGGATTATGATTAACGAGGGTTCTTAGAATACCTTTGGAAATAGCTATCGTGCCTACCTGTCTGTCGCCTTACTTATCACATCATTTGCATACTTTGTCCAGACATGCCTCAAAGGATGATTACGTACGTGAGGTTGCAAACAGCGAGAATCCGCGTCCGTTTTCGTCGATGTATGCACACGTTATAACTGTCAACGTAGACATCATCCAGATATGCGCTTGAATAGGTGCCAAATGCATTTTTAAATAACCATTTCCGATATGAGTAGATTTACGGAACGAAACTTTTGAGAGTTCAAATTTCAAAGGTAAATTATCTATCAGAAAGCACGCGAAGAACAACGTGATAATATGAGTCTCATTGGAGTCCGCCTGCTTCTCCTGCGAAGTAATTTCGACCACATCGTCGGCATCTACGCCCAAGGAGCAAATTCTACGAAGACCGGCAAGCTCCCCAGGCGTCTGTATGGAAGGCGGACAAGTTGACTGTCCTCTGTCGCCTTCAAAGTCCGCGTCGGCACAGACCGTGTGGCCTCGACCGGAGGGCTGGGCCGTTATAGCCTAGAGGACTCCAACGACAATGGCCTCCTTATCCAACGAACCTGCGCAGAATATCAGCTCATCCTGAGCAACACCTTCTTCCTCATTCCGATGCGAGATAGGGCCACCTGGATGCACCCTCGATTGCAAAATTGGCACCTTCTGGACTACGACCATGTCCGGAGGCGAGACCAGCGGGACATACTGGTGACAAATGGGATCCCGGGTGCCAACGGCTGGACCGACCATCGCCTCGTCATCTGCAAGATGTGGAATCGCCTACAGCCTCGTGGGAAGCCTCAAGGTAAGCGACGTCCAAGAAAAGTTGAATATTGCTTTGTTGTGTTTGCCTGCTCACCATCTCCCTTTCAGCAATGAACTAGCCCAAACTCTGGCCAACCCTCCAGTCGCCGACGCCGCCGTCTCCGCCAACGAGAACGCCTCCGTGGCGAAACGGTGGTGCCAACGACGGGACAAAGTCCAGGCGACCGTCTTGATCGTCCTCGATCGCGCAAGTCGGCAAAGTCAGGACTGGTTCGATGACATTGACGACATCAGCAAACTGGTCGCCGAGAAGGAGAGCCTGCACAAAGCCTTCGTCGACCGCGACACACCGACGAAAACAAAGCAGCCATCTACCGCAGTCGCCGCCATTCATGACAGCGGCTGCGGTAGATGTAGGAGTCCTGGATGAATGGAGAGGCCAGAGGGACTCAAGGATACGCGGACCGCAAAGAACGTAAGTATTTCTTTGCACCGATAAAGACTGTCTACGTTTCCACGACAGAAGAAACGGTTTGTCTTCTCAGCACCGATAGAACCATCCTACCATTTACTGGTTGTTCTACTCTGGGACTTAAAAAATAGATTTTACTAGAATTATGCGACAGAATAGTTAAAGCCTCTCCAGTAGATGCCCGGTTTTTTGCTTAATTTGTCCACTATGAGATGTACTGAAGCAGATTTTTACTAGAGGCAGTGTGCAAATCGTATGCTAGTTTCTTTATTTTGATGTTTATGAAGATAGATTTTTACCAGAATTATTCAACACGTCTGGCGCGTGTTTCGAATTTTGTTTCAAATTTTCGTCCTCCGACGGGTTTTTATTCTTCGAGATTTCCGCACTCTGGATGCTCCTGCAGCCAACCTGATTTTAAAATTGAGCTCTAGACAGCAATATTCGCATTGTCGACAAGTTACAACACCACTTTCTTAGAACGTGACCTTTGACACTATCAGTTCTGCATGCGAGCACATAAAGACCGATCTTCTGACTAACGAAACCCCTAGAACAACTTCTACAAAGGCTCTGTGTCACTTCGAAACTTGGGCATTGGCTGTACCATTGTTTCAAAGCATTAGCTTGACGTTCGGTTAACTGAAGTCCCATTGAATTCGACGAGGTTTCTGTTGTCTGAAGTCTCGAAGCCTTCGCTGAGATTTCTGTTGCCGGAAGACTTTCGGACATGTAAACGCCTTAGACCTTCCCTTGATTGCGTCTCTCTCCGGCTGCGATCCTTTTGTAGAATATTGTATCCTGGACTCTGGGGCATAAAGACATGGGAAATGTAGAAGTGTACGATCCATCAGTCCCGCGGGATGAGAAAGGGGCGCTGGGAGCGGGGATCGATGCTCTAGCCTTCGGTTCACGAGGCGAGCGCCTAAACCCCGCGGCCATCGATGTCGGTAGGGGCGCCTCAAAGAATATTAATTGTATTAGCCCCATAGTTGGGGGATATGCCGGACTTGGTCATGAACATAATTCACTAGCAACTGCATGTGGACCAGCGTCGACTCACGTCGGGCAGGGAGGATCTAACGAATGAAATAGGCCAGAAGTGGCTCGAAGTAGGACTGAGGTGCCCCGCGACGCTTATTATCCCAAAAATTTCGCTACAGCTGCACAGGATTTTTTGCCAGATACTGAACCTTCAAACTGCTGTGCGTGGTGTAAATATTGTCGAGATCTCGCGTTAATCATTACATCGTTGGTGACATATATGAACCTCCGCATAGATCTCACTGCATTGTTGCCAAAGTATGATAAATTCAAGTTAATTGATGAATTCGACAGCGGCCAGCAGATAATTTCCAAACTGACAGAGTTGACTAACAGCAACCCACTAATAGAATGATTACCGTTTCAGGCGATCGCTGGCTGCAGAAATACAAAATTGCTAGGAGAAGAAATAAACGACAACATGAACACACAGCCCTATCCTCACAAACAGCGGTAGTTAACGACACTCCAAAATCGCAAACTAAGTTGGGAAGTGATAATGTCAATGAACACTCATCATTCATGACTACCCAGCTGAAGAACAATCACCAGCTCACTGGCAGAGCAGAAGCTGTCCGATCTCCACCACAGTTGAAGGTAAAAGGATCCGACATAGAAAAGATTACCGCATGGACGGAAACCTCAGAGGAAATTGCGGATAATATGACAAGACATGATACTAATCCGACCCAGCAGAGCAGCGAGCAGATGATCACTGCCCCCGCAATGAGATCGAGGAGAAGCAGGCAATTAATAATAAGACTCAGACCGTTCACATGCAACTGAGGTCACATCAAAAGAAGTAGTTAAATCAAAACGGACTGACGACTGAAAACGGAGCGACAGAAATCGGACGACCTCGGAGTACTCGAAGAAATGAACTTCCTAGGGTGGAAAAACAGAGCTCGTCTGAGCAATCGACAGAAACCTCCAGCGCTCGCGTAGACATAGACGCAGCGAATGCGAATATCCTCTTCATTGACATAAACGACAGGAGCAGTACTGCCACATACACTATACCATTGGTTCAAGAAAAGGCCCCTAAAGTGGATGGCAACTAGAATATCATCATGAATGATTCGCCAGGAATTCCCAAGTCACCAACCTCACGCAACAAAGACAGGCCGCTCCGAGAACAGTGCCTAGTAATACAGAGACTTTAGGAGCCACACGCAGACACACCTAAAGAACGCGTTCTAGTCCATCTCGGATTGTTCTAAAGTCTTCTAAATACAATGCTTCAACCCAACGAAGAAGTTTCAGTGTTAAAAGCCTTCAGACTCGGAAAGCGCACTTCTAAACCCGCTATCCCACCGCATCCTAAGCCCCTCAGAATTGTTCTGCGTTGCAAAGAGCATGTTAATCTCATCCTCTCAAGACGTTTTAAATTACAATATTCCCACCACGGAGTTTTTTCAGCCGGATTACACACCGCCGGAGCTGCTAAAACGCCGACAGTTAGTCCAGGAGCTAAGGCTGCGACAAAACCTGGTTATCTACAACAACTGTATAGTCGAGCGGCCGTCCTTGTTTATATGGACACGCCCCGTGCGTATGTCGCCACAGCTGAGGCATATGACAAAGGTGGCGACATAACCGGCTTACCAAAAGCAAAAAAGCCAAAATGTTTATATTCCAATGCGCAAAGTCTGCCATCTAATTTAGATGAGCTTAAGATCTACGCTAATCAAACCTTACCCGATGTAATATCCATAACTGAAACGTGACTGTCAGCGAGCGTAGACGATCGCGAAGTCGCTTTACCCGGTTAGAAAGGACAGGTTGGGACGTCAAGATGGAGGTATGCTCACATTTGTCAAATATGGCCTTTTTGCGACAGAAAAAGGGGGACAGTTCGCGCGCACAACACAAACAATTTGGCTCACCATCAAAACGCCCGGTTCACAAGCTCTCGTGATCCTAACGGTCTACCACCCACCGAGGAAGGATCCGCAAGCAGACAGTAGTCTGATAGAGGAACTAGAAGCGATTTCGATCTGACCCAATGTCATGATTATGGGCGACTTTGACGCTCCGAATATCGACTGGAATCTGTATTCTGCCCCAGGCTCAGAATTTAACTTTGATCGCCGCCTCCTACAAGCAGTGCAAAGATTGCATCTCGCACAACACGTCTCATCTCCAACCAGACTACGTGAAGGACAACTAGCTAACCGATTAGACCTTGTATTGACAAAAGCACCCGAAAGCGTTGAGGTTGTAAACTGTCTATCCCCTCTCGGAAAAAGCGACCATGTAGTCCTGCAGTGGGAGTGTTCTCTCTTCTCTGTACCTGATCAAAGCATGGTGATCAGACGCAAGATATGGCGTGGTAATTTCAACCAAATGCGTCTAAAAATGCGTCGTAGAGACTGGAAAGCGGCATTCACGGGGTGTGTTCTCAAAGACTGGTTAGAACTTACGGCCGTACTGCAAGAACGTATCACCAAATACTGCCCTATATCGAAAAAAAAACTTACCAGCAGGCCCCGATGGCTAAAAGGCACACTAAAGGATGAAGTTAACCGTAAACAAAAGCCGTGAAAGGCTTATCTCGGGGATCAGACAAACGAACCAAGGAATAGGTACAAGGCTCAGCGGAACAGGGTAAGGTGACTTGTTTACAAAGCTCGCCAAGACTTCAAGGGTAACCTTTTAAAAGGTGCAGGAGAAAACTCAAAGCTTTCGTCAATTACATAAGACAAATCACTCGCAACGGGGATCCCATCCCTATGTCAAAAGGGCATGATGGCGTTGAACTTTGCAATGACGACGAAAAGGCTGAGCATCTATCCAGGTTCCTTTAGTCAGTTTTTACAAAAGAAGTCGATGTACCCGCTAATCACTGTAATGTGGATGATGTCCCGAAAATTGACCCAGTGGTTCTCACAAAAGCTATTGTTCAACAAGAACTACTGAAACTGAAAGAAGCGACATCGTCAGGTCCTGATGAAATATCAGCAAAGTTGTTAAAGAAATTAGCCACAGATTGGCTGAACCTCTGTGTCTCCTCCTCCTCCTCCTCCAAGCCTCTCTTGATTCAGGCAGACTGCCTCCTGAGTGGAAGACTGCGTGGATTTAACCGACTCATAAAAATGGCAGTCGCGCTTTCGCAAACAACTCACCTCCATATGCTGCAAAGTTATGGAGGGAATTATCAAACGCGAACTGGCGTGGTTTTTTGAGCAACATCATCTTCTCTCTGATGCACAGCATGGATTCCACAGTGGAAGGTCCTGCTTGATCAATCTACTCTACTATCTTGAACGGTGGACCCGAGCGAATGATGAAGGAAGCTTGGTGCATGTAGCCTACATAGACTTCAAGAAGGCCTTCGACTGCGTGCCACACCAACACCTCCTATACAAGCTCAGCCGCATAGGGGTAAGAGGCAAGCTTTTGAAGTGGATTGAAAACTTTTTGATCGATCGGTCCCAGACTGTCCGTTTTGGTGGCTAGCAATCCGCTGAGGTGACGGTTACGAGCGGAGTAACTCAGGGCTCCGTGCTTGGCCCTATCCTCTTCCTCATCTATATTGATGACTGAATCCATGGGTTGGTCTGCGACATTGCCATATTTGCTGACGATATAAAGTTTTGGAACGTCATTCGCAAGGAGGACAATGAAGTAAGTTTACAGGCAAACTTAAACAGACTCGAAGAATGGTCAGGCCATTGGCTCCTCTCATTATATGTTACCAAATGCAACAATCTGCGAATTAGCAGATCCAGCTGTACGGACCGGAGAGCGTACTATCTAAATCACACTCCGCTCTCAGTGGTAGATGTTCAGAAGCATCTAGGTACGTGGGCAACATCTTCACTAAAGCCATTATTCCACTGCTTGAAAGCAGCGGAATCCGCAATATCCAGCGGGCATTTGCGAAGTTTGACGAAGAGTGCTTTCACGGATGT